TTTGTTTGTTTGCGCGATCATAACAAATTTGGGGAACTCGGGAGACCCACGGGAATGTTCTTAGCTTGGTTTTCAGATTATTAGTTGAGTGGGTCGACTTTTAGCGGGAAAAATAGCTAAAATCGTAATTTACGACAAGGGGCGGGTAAACGGTGGGACTAGCTATGACTCCCCTGGGTATTCAAGCTAGTTTATTTTTAAGTATTAAGAATCTGATCTAAGAATACTTAATGGGACTGTCGTTAGAATTTCAAGTTGCCATTCAATTACAAAAGGCAATGCCCAAGGAGTATGAAATAGAAGGGAGATTAACTGACGTGGCCCGCCTACAAAATGATTATACATGCTTTGCAGAAGGTACTTCATTTGTATAAGAAATATATGTCTGATGTACAATTAACGCGTATACAATAACCTTATCTGGATATTTTTAATACATAAGGAGTACCGTCTGCAATGCATGTATAATCATATGGTAGGACGGGCCGCATCAGTTATATCTCCCTTCTATTTCATACTCCTTGGCAATGCCCAATACGTAAACATTTCTCTGATCAATAAATAGCTTTTTAAAAATCGTTAAGTGTCTAATTCTTACAGTATCTTCAATTGTTTTTTTTAACAAGAAGTTCGCAAGTCTGGTATATAGAACCCGAAATTGAAAATAATATTTGGGTAGAAAGAATAGCATCATTTTTACTTGGATAAAGGTTTAAAAGGCACCGTCATGTATCGGACAAACTCTTCGAGTATAAATGGAATTATGTCTTTAGTATCTTAAAATCTTTACAAGTACGTCAGTTTAACTTTATATTTATATTTATATTTAATAGGGTGTTTCTCGCCCATCTTCCATTTCCATTGTGAACATGTTCTCTTTGTTTACATGGTAAACAAAAACAACAAAATTTCGCTGATTTTTTAAAAAAAACTTTCGTGGATTTTGCAAAATTTTTAGAAATTGAGTTTTGATGAAGGCAAGTTTTTGAAAATTCGATCATCCATAAACCTTCTCCCGGGTCACGCAAGGCTCCACTAAAAATGTGGGCTAGATCGGTTCAGCCGTTTTGACTTTTATTGGACAAAAACGGACGGACAGACAGACAAGCAAAGTATGTATAGATTATGTTCAGGAGTTTGATCAAATTGGAACAATTAATGGAGAAACTGCAGTAGATTTCGATCTGGAAAGTTTAGAGGTAAAAAATCTTAATTTTTAAGAACCATGTGAATTTGGAAAATAAAACTAATTTATTGTAATCTACAATTTTACACAAATAATTATAGCTGGGGAATAGGGGCGGGTGACCCGGCTCTATGAATTCTTAATTTTTTTAATGAAATTGTTGATTATCTAGGAGAAACCGTGGCGAAAACCTGGAGCAGATATAACAGATTATTTTAATTATGGTTTCACAGAAGATACATGGACTGCCTACTGTAACAGGTAGTTTATTGAATTATGGTTTCACAGAAGATACATGGACTGCCTACTGTAACAGGTAGTTTATTGAAGGGATTGTTGTTAGAATTTCACCTTTATCGAATCAATTATGTGGAAAAGTATTCAATTCTGATAATTTCTATACTGTGTCTTGGAGAAGAAATGCTCAAGTCTTTGTCTTTCGCAGAGAAACCGCAATTAAAATAATTTCCATTTTCAAAGTTATAAACATTGATAAATAATTCGTACTTAATTAGACAAAGCTTATAAAGTACCGTTGTGAATCAGACAAGACATGCCCCTCTATATATGGAAGGTCACTTGAAATTACGTCTAAAATCCCTCATATGTTATAATTGAAATTGAACTAGAAAAACTAAAAGGTGGGCCAAGGACAAAAATTTCTGTTTTATGTACCAAACAACTAAATTTATGATGACTAACTCCATTCGTGAAAGGGTTGGTATTAAAAAAACGGCCTTTAAAACCCACCCAATTTTTTTTAAATTATTGCCTTTTCTTCACTCTTTTAATGATTCCCCTTATGATTAAGGGAGGTGATATTAGTGTATTTGAAGAATATTTATATTTGAGTATGGCTCAGCCCCCGTTGGAGGCTGAAGCCCCCCTGAAAATCAAAGCATTCAATTTTCCGGGGGGGGGGGGATTAGCCCCCATAGCCCCCTCCCCTGAAAACGCCTTGGCATATTATCACTAAATTATTATTATAAAGTTCACCTATTGTTTACTAGTGTTATAATTTTAAATCCAAGAAAGCCCAAAAAGGCAACACAGATCACCATAAAAACCAATAAAACCAACTGGTCTTGTTTTTTTTTAAAACCTGAGTTTTTTCCAACCATGATTCGTGCCATGATAGTACATGATTGTATGAGGAAAATACATGATTGTATGAGGAAAATACATAATTGTATCAGGAAAATACATGATTTTATGAGAAAAATACATGATTGTATGAGGAAAATATATGATTGTATTAAGAAAATACATGATTGTATGAGGAAAATACATGATTGTATTAAGAAAATACATGATTGTATGAGGAAAATACATGATTGTATGATGAAAATAAATAAATTTTTGGGTAAAAAGTATTAAAAAGAATTTAAAAAGTTGCCTTTTGTTGTCCACATTTTCATTTTCATCTAGACAGAAACAGTTGCGAGTAAACGAGGCTGGGGTGAGTGTAATGGGAAACAGCTCTATAGTTTCAGGGAACAGATACACAGGTATATGGGAGGAATGGGAGTTCCACAAAAGTGTTCGAACTTTTTCAGCTTTTTTTCGTCAAAAACAGCTTAATTTAAACAACAAAACATGGTTTTATCTAAAAGGAAACGCTTTGAATGATAGGAGGGGAAAAGTGAAATGTAAATTTCATAGTCAGAATAAAATTTGTTGGTGAGTTGCTTTGAATCTAGTCCGACCATGAACTAGATCTTGAATGATTGGGTTGATGGGGGGAAGGGGGGGNCATTCAGACCAAGAAATATATATAATTCACTGTTCTTTGTCACAAAAAGGGTTTTCTAGTGACATTTCTAGTTAAACAAGTTTCTAATCAACTCAATAATCGGTGGCATCCTTTAATCCCAAAAAAAATATCTTGAACAACTCAACATGCTAATGTTACCGAAAAGATCATCTGAGAGTGAACTGTAGGGTCAATGGCAGACCGCCATAGGCTTGTCTCCCACCCCTGAATTTACAATCAGCACTTAACTTGGATAATTCATTGGAACTTAAACGTCTAAAATCTTAGATTGAAGAATTGACAGTGAATTATTATTATTATCATTGAGTCTGAACTGGGAACTTTAGAATGGTGGATATCGAGATCAATGCTTGATCCTCTCTTTTTCTTAATATCGAGACTAACCTAATCTTGTAGTTGTATCCTGAAAAGTGTATAAGATTCAACCAATCAGAAGCCGGGAAGTTTGAAATTTTGCGCGCCATTTAAGACAGAAACGTGAGGAACTCTTTAATTTAAAAAACCGTTTTTTGATTTTTCTGCACTATATTCAAAAAAGAATGGATTAAGTAAGAAATTAAAAGTGTCCACATTGGATATTCGGATTAAGCAGTCGGGATTAAAGGTATCCGATTCTAAAGTTCCCAGCTCTGATTCCAACGACAAAAACGCTTTTGCTTCTGTTTGTTTGAATTAGTTTTTCAAAAATGTATTTTTTACTTAAGAATTTAAAAAATTGAATTATTATGAATAATGTTTGTTAATGTAGGATGCGCCCAGTGGAATTACCGTGATGACGCATGAAAAACGTGTTTACTCAAACAAGGAAATCTTTCAAGAAATCTACGAAACTAGAAACCAACATTTCCAGGGTTTATACTTGATTAAAAATGTATTTTTTAAGCATTTTTCTAAAACAATTATTTCTCCAGAATGAAGATAGAAAATATAAGTAAACTTGGCTTTTAGGGCGCTTTGCGCCCATCTTCTATTTCAACAATGAACATTTTCTTTTTGTATACAAAGTAAAACAAAAACAAAAACAAATAGACGAGTATATATAGATATGGGGACTCAAAACTTTAAGCTGCTAAAACGATTTCCTAGTTTTAGTTTTGTTTTTAATTCTAAATTTTTTAAATGATAAATTGATTGATCTGTTTACATACAGATTATCGGAGGCATGGATTTTTCAGTTCCTCCTCCAGCATTTAGCCTTCCTCCACCTGGTCTACCCCCTCCTGGTAAATTCAGTCCTCCGATGTTGATGTTGAAATGTTGAAATGTTGATGTTGAAATGTTGAAATGTTGAGATGTTGAGATGTTGAGATGTTGAAATGCTGAAATGCTGAAATGCCGAAATGCCGAAATGCTGAAATGTTGAAATGTTGAACTGCTTAAAATAAATGCTGAAATGTTGAAGTGTTGAAATGTTGAAATGTTGAAATGTTGAGATGTTGGATGTTGAAATGTTGAAATGTTGAAATGTTGAAATGTTGAAATGTTGAAATGTTGAAATGTTGAAATGTTGAAATGTTGAAATGTTGAAATGTTGACATGTTGACATGTTGAAATTTTAAAATGTTGAAATGTTGAAATTCTGAAATGCTGAAATGATGAAATGTTCAAATGCTGAAATGTTCAAATGTTCAAATTTTCAAATGTTCAAGTGTTCAAATGTTCAAATGTTCAAAGGTTGAAAGGTGGGAATGCTGAGATGTTGAAATTTTGAAATTTTGAAATTTTGAAACGTTGAAACGTTGAATCGTTGAAGTGCTGAGATGTTGAGATGTTGAGATTTTGAGATGTTGAGATGTTGGAATGTTGATGTTGATTTTGATTTTGATTTTGATTTTGATGATGCTGATTTTGATGTTGATGTTGATGTTGATGTTGATGTTGATGTTGATGTTGATGTTGATGTTGATGTTGTTCTAGTGCTGGGTGTAGAGGCTGGAATACCTGTAGCTACAGATTATCCTCCTCCCGATCCTTTCGGAGAAGGAGATCCCTACGCCGGGGGATATGAACCAACAGCAGGTAGGAGAATATATTTATATTTAATTTATATTTATAGTTTGGTTACAAAATGATCTTTTTAATAATGTTAATAAGTGTTTATTTTTGGTGGGGGTTCTATTGGGGAAATTCATTGATTTCTAGATGAAAATAAATGAATTTTCGGGTACAAGTTTTAAAAGGGTTGAATTACTTGCCTTTTAAAGTCCAACTCCAATTGTTATTTTTTCCTCAAATCATCAAAAATTATTCCCGGGGGGGGGGGGGGGTTAATTTTAATAAGATAAACGCCCCTTCAATTTTTAGATTTTGAGCAGTCCGTGTTGATTGTCTTTTCCAAGAGAAAGACGAACATATCTTATTTTTTTATTTTATAAATTTTTAAGGGAAAGACGTTTTTTTAGAAAATCTTTCTCATCCTAATTTCTGTTTTGTTTCAGAGGCCCAGTGGAGCTTACCTCCTCCCAGCTGGGATCAATCCCAACCTCCTCCTATTGATCCATACGGGTACGTTAAGTCAAATATTAATATTATTAAACACTAGCTGAAGTGCAATTTTAGAAACACTTGAAGAAAAAAATAGAATTTTGAAGAAAAAAAATTGATATTTTAAGAAAGAAAAATAAGCCTATGCTACACCCAGGGAACTCTTGGGTTCGCTCAAAAAAATCCGCCAATTTTGTCTAGAGCTTTATTATAAAGATTAATTCAGAGTTTAGGATCCAACATCCGCAACATTCTGGTTTCCTGTATCCGCAAAAATATGCGGATCCCCGGATCCAAGGGGCAAAAAACCAGCTAAACCCTGCTAAAAATATTAAATTTAGCTTTGAAAACACAAATACAACTGTGAGCTAGTGTTAAAACTTTATAATATCTGAATGTTTCAACGCATAAAAAATTAATTTCAAGGGATCTTTCAGTTGTAGAGGATTGCAACGGTTTAAATGACACTGTCCAATATTTATTAATGAATTTTGATTTGAAAAGCTCATGGAAAATGATCTATGTCTTAAGTAAATATTCATTGTTTGATGATTTGAAAGGAAGACGACATTCAATAGGAAATATCCCCTTTTTCCATTACTTCCTTTAAAATACATTTAAGAACTAATTAAGTATTTAATATATGTCGACTAATAATTTTTAATGTTTTATCATTGCCTTTTATGTCTAACATTGTGTTAAAATGGTTAAAACTTTAGGGTTCGAGTCCGTTCCATGCAAGAGTCTGCTCCATGCAGGACACCATTACATAATCAAGAACTAAACCTCCAGGCTGTTAAATGGAGCCTCAAGCTATCCCTAAAATTCATGATTTTATTTAATTTCAGGTCCAGATCTCCCAGAGATAGGGATAGAAGGGAGAAGGAACCAAGAGATAGAGAAAGATCAGAAAGGGAAAGAGATCGTGGGGATAGAGAACGCGGAGACAGGGAACGAAGTGATAGAGAAAGAGGGGATAGGGAACGAGTGGATAGGGAAAGAGTGGATAGGGAACGAGGTGAAAGGGACAGGGAAAGAAGAATTAAAAAGGAAAAAAGGTGAACATTTCAAAATTAACAACAAAAAACAATATGTATACTTTTTATATAATTTTGACCAAGTTAGAAGATTTATATAAAAATAAATTTTCTTTGTAATATTTTGTCAAATATTTTATCGAAATTTCAGATCTCGAACCCGGTCTCCACGTCATAAAAAGAGTCGGCGAGATCGGCGTGAAAAACGTGAAGGTGACCCAGACACACCTGAGGATGGAAATCTTAATGTTAAGGTTTATATTTATATTTTATTTAGAATTGGTGAATACAATTTACAATTTACTTGCTCCATTTTCTTCTATTATAAGTCACTCTTTAGGAAATATATGATTTATTTATGATTTTTGCTAAATCCTCTCTTTTCCCTCTTTTTGGATATCCATACTGAGCTGAAAACTTTAGATTTATGCTTAATCCTCTCTTTTTCATAATATCGAGACTAATCTAATCTTGTAATTGTATCCTAAAAAGTGTATAAAATTCAACCAATCAGAGTCGCGTATAAGAAGCCGATAAATTTGAAATTTGCGCGCCATTTAAGATTTCAATGTGCAGAAAGTCTCCCCGACTTTCTAATTTAAAAAACCGGTTTTTGATTTTTCTCTACTATATCCAAGAAAGAATGGTTTAAGAAAAAAATCAAAAGTGTTTACATTGGATACTCAGATTAAGTAATCAGGATTAAGGATATCTTATTCTAAAGTTTTTAGCTCTGGATTCTGACCAATGAGAGTTCTCTTCCATTTCGGGTTCCCTTGCAGATATATTATTATTATTATTTCTTTTAAATGGCGCGTAAAATTTCAATATTCTCGGATTCTGATTGGCTGTTCAGGATTCTACGTATGCCACTTTGATTGGTTGAATTTTATACATTTTTTTGGATACAAACTAAAGATCAAATTTAGCTTGGGATTAATAAAAAAGAATTGATCTTGATATCCACAATTCTAAAGTTTATATTATTTCACGATAAACCCCATAAATAAGACATTATCAAAGATTAAAAAGAAAGTCAGAAGCAAGGATTTTGAAATTGAATTAATTATTTTTTTATTTTTTTTTTCAGGATGAGCCCCAGGAGAAGGGTGAAAAGGTCGTAGCTCCGACAGAGCAAGAATAATTTTGACCAGTTCCGTCACTTTTGTACATTATCAATTATCATTTGTTGATTTAAATTTTTTTAAGTTAACACAAATAATGAATTGACAACCATTTAATATCTTGTGTTCATTGAATCATTTGACAAGATGTCGTCTTACATCCTATAACATAAACTTTGTATTTTTTCAGTTTCAATAAACGTTAAACCTGTTTAAATCATTTCTAGTTCAAACTAATCCTTTATTCCATGTGGACGTATCCAAAAACATATTTACACAAATTGAGGGGTAAAAATGTTTAAAAAACTATGAAGCAAAAAATGCTTGAAGAATCCTGAATTAAATTAAATTATTAATTTTTTTTTTAACTTTTCTTGTGGGGGATAATCGTTATTTTTAAAATATTCTTTTAAACAGAACTCGACTTTCAGAGAAAATGGCGCCCGAAAGAAAAATCAAAAGTGGAGCAGCTAGCAGTAAAGTAAAGAAGATGTGTGGAGATACAGGGAGCAAAGATGTAGCTAGATTAAATGTATACATTTTAGTTTAAAGGGATCGTAAATGTAATTTCAAGTGACCCTCTATTGATGGAGCCTCATGTCCTGTCCACTATTGTGCTAAGGGCACAATAGTGGACCGGACATGAGGGTCCATGATCAATTTTGAATTATATATCCATGTTTTTGTATTTAAATCCTGTTTATCTACACTTGCGGTTTCTATGCATAAATGACTTGCTTGAGCAATTTCTTGATTCAGAAACAATGGATAAATGATCAGAATTAAACACTTTTCCCACCAGAAAAACTACATTATTTATCAGATTGTGAATCGGACATGCACAATTATTTAAAGGGAGGATTATTTAAATTTTAGCCAATAGTCCCTTAAGTACTCACACACCGTCCCACTATGTGGAAAGTTAAAGAATTGTCTCTATTGCCAATTTGTCAAATCGTTATGAAAACAAATATATTCAGGAAAATTTGAAATAATTTTTATAATCAGTCATTGCTTGGAAATTTTGGAAACATTAAATCATTGACCATAAAATTAAGGTAAATTTTCTTGTTTTAAAGGGAGGACCGGCTATGTAAGGTAGTTGAACTGAGTATGCAGTGTTGTGGAATACTTTCGGATTCATTTGAGACATATTAAACTTTTTAAAAATCTGTAAAACGTTTTGAACGTCGAATTTGCGCTCAAACTCAGGATTACAGATCTTTAAAAAGTTTAATATGTCTCAAATGAATCCGAAAGAAGTTTTAAACAACACTGCATACACAGTTCAACTACCTTACNCTGCAGCAGAGAGATTGGAGGAAAAAGTCATCATTTAACACTTTAAAAATACAAAAAACATCTTCCCTGTTTTCATATTTTCACGATTCCCTGCAATTGTAAACGTGTTCCTTTCTTTGCTAAATCATTATATAAGCCATTAGATTATTGTATCCACATTATTACTCAGATAATGGTTTAATAGTGGGGTGTGAATAAATGCAGCAGAGGGATTGGAGGAAAAAGTCATCATTTAACACTTTAAAAAATACAAAAAACATCTTCCACATAATTACTTAGATAAAGGTTAAAGGGTACCATTGGAATCGGGAATTAGTTTGCTCACATTTTTTAAAAGAATATTGTTTGAAGTAAATAATGAATGAATTGCTCTACGTATACTGTATATTTTTCATTACATTAAATGTTCATTTTATTTTCAAAATTTTCAAAGTTTAGATTTTTCTTGTAATCCTAGGAACACTTGGCACAGTACTTTTCTTCGCAGACACACCAAGGTTAGATATTATTATATAAAGATTTATTCACACACAAAGATATAAATACATATATAAATGGTGTATGTTAAATTTGTTTAAATAAATTTTTAAAATAAGGGAAACGAACTCAGATTATCAGATTGAAAAAGATAATTTGCAAATATTCACTTTTAAAAAAATGTTTTAAGACAATTATTCCTTGAGATTGTTTCTGTCACAAAGGTTAAAAACAAACTGTTTAGATGTTTGTGTATAAAGTGGTGGTGGGGGTCGAACTAATTAACGAACTTTTGCGTAAATCGGGGGGAGGGGGGACGGCTTGTTTAAGGAGGGGTATTTAAACCTTTTAAAGAATTTGACATAAACGACTCTTTTTTAAATTGAATTTAATAAATTTGAGCCACGTCTCACATCCGCCAAAAACCGGTTTCAATTAAGCGCCGGCTTAAATCTTGAAAAATTGAATACAATTTAAAGTGAAACCAACCATATTCTTTAAATTCGGCCTCCGTCGTCATTGTCATCGTATATATCAATACAATTAGGACGACTTTCGATTTTTGAGTTCTATTAATCTTTTAAAAAGCATAGATATACTTAAACATGGAAACAAAGAGAAACTGTCAACTACCAGCCTCTCTTTGTTTTCTTATAAACTTGTAATTTAAAGAAAGGTTGTTAAAAATCAAAACTTGAGCAGAAAAGTCGTCTTCATTGTATTGATATAAACGCCGAACACTGTAAAAATTCAAAATTACCCCTTATCAAACAAATAAATCCAAGGTATTTAAATATTATGGTTTTATTTCAATCTTGAGAAAACCCAATGGGATGTTCATCCTAGATAATGCTTTAAATAGCCTAATTCCAAATCACGAAAGCCTGGACAATGGACATAAAGGTTAAGTCGGAAGCGATGGATAATTCTACGTTCAGAGCTGAGAACTCTTGTATTGTGGATATCGAGATCAATGCCTGATATCGGTCTGCTAATCTGCATATTAATTTACATTTTATTCGATAAACTGCATAGTAATCGTACCCAGTCAGGGGTTTAAGGGAGCCTCGATCAGGAGCTTTGATTAGGTTGGAATAACTGAAATTCGGAGATTAAACTTTGATCTTCAAATTAAAAGTGACCAGAGTGGATATAAAGATCAGGATTATGAGTATCCAACTTGGTTCATACAGTTCCCAGCTCAGAACAGAACCATCCAAATGCAATTTTGCCATTCAAAATATTATAATTAAAGTGCCCGGCGTTGCCCGTAGAATCTTGAAAATCTTTAACGACATACAAATACGACCGCTCTGCTTTAGATAAAAGATTTATTTAAAATTTATATTTTACCCCAGGTTGAAATCTGACCTGCAGCTGGAGATTGCAGAATTAAACTCAAGGTGTCATAAGAATTATTCATTTTTGAAATTTAAAGTTTTTTTTACAGTGGGACCCGTAAAACTACCACTTTAAGACTCGAATTATGATTTTTAGATCTATTTTACTGAACTAGTTGATTTTGAATTAACTGGGACCAAATTTAATGAGTTTGAGCTACGTCGCTTAACTACCCACTGTGGGTTCAAATTTGAACCACTGATTCAAAGTTAAAGATAAAGGGAGGATTTGAATCGGTGATTCAGAAGTGAACCGACAGTAGGCAGTTCAAATTTGTTAAATTCGGCTGTAAAACTTTTTGCTTTATAACAACATCAAATACATTATTAAATTTCTTTAATGTCTTTTTCTATAGTTTTCTGGGATTGCGTATCTTACCAAAATATGACAGATTTCGAATAATTCACATTTATCTTAAACTGATCAATCTTGTATTTAGAATAACCAGGAAAAAAGCGGCCAACTGAAAGATCTTCATCTCAATTCTTAAATCTATAAATGTACAATATAATTTTCAGATGAAAATTAAAAATGTCTACTCTAAGTTTCAGTGATTTAAGTAAAGAAGGTAAAAATCTGATTTTTTTCTCTTAAACTCTATATTTCCTGAACCTTTATTCGGAAGTACGAAATAATTTTGGGAAAACTTTTCAGAAATTTTCCGAAAATTTCAAAATGTATTTTTATTCCAGCGATTCTGGCCTTACAATACTTCTTGCTAAATAAATCATGATTTACTGAAATTTTTGTTTCCAAAAGAACAAAAAAATATGTTTGGAAAAATTAATTATTTTTTTATTTTTTTTATTTATTTCCTTTAATTAAAGAGTGTTATTAATAAAGAAGTAACAATAGTATCCAGTGTTTGGTAAAAAGCCCTTTTCTGGATCGTCTGTGCTTTCGAAAAGCTAGAAATGCAAATTTCAGAGATGTGAACAAGCATGCTAATCGGAATAGTATTGTTGTGAATGTGTTGGCTGTGTAGGGTATTAAATTTCGTTGATTATCGCTTTTAGACGAGTGTTGGGTAGATGAACTGATTGGGGAACTCGTGGACCAAGAAGTACTCCAGGAATTCTCATGTCTCAGGTGACAGAAAATTGAAATTTTTTTTAACATAAATTTTATCAATTTATAAAAATATTTCATCTTATGTGTTATTTCATTAAGACTTTAAAAAATAGATTAAATACATAGTGGCTATATAGTAATACTAGGCTTTTAGGGCGCTATTTAAATTGTGAACATTTTCTTTTTGTTTACATTTTAAACAAAGAAGAAAAAATTTTTTCGGATTTTCAAGAATTTAAATTTTTTTACAAAATTAAAAACCTTTAAAACACATTTATTTTTTATTTTTATCATTTATAAACCTTTCCTGTGGTCACGTGATGTCCCACAAAAAAATTGGGCCCGATCGGTTCAGCCGTTTTGACGTTTATTGGATTCAAACAAACAGACAGACAAATAGACAAGCCAAATCTATATATAGATAGTATATAAAGACTTACAGTAAACTATAACTTTCATAAATACGTCGCAAAGTGCCAATTCTTGAAAAAAAAAAATTTTTATGCATTAAGAATTTTTATAATTTTTTTTTTATCTTTTTGGTCCCTTTGACGTTTAAATCGAATATACTCTCTTCTCTAAAACTTCATTTTTTACATTTACATCTACAGCGATGTCTTAAAAATAATGATTTATTTTCATAAACCTAATATTAGAATTATATGCATAAAGCTTTTACTCAAAACTCTTTAAATACGACGACCCAAAGTCTTTTGCATTAAATGTGGTCTTTCAATGGCTTCTATAATGATTTGGCATAGAAGTTTACAGTTGCAAGAAATCATGAATGTAAGGAAACAGCCAGTATAAATTCCGTACAGTCGTCTCCGAAGTCTTATCCTTTGTGAGTAACATAGTAATTATCTCCAGTAAACCGTGAATTAGGGTGAATCAGACCGAATTCAAGAATTGATATTCTAATTCCCACATCTCTCTTCAATCTGATGATGTATACTTTGACTTTTATTTGTCGCAGAATTCATTGTTTGTAATATTAAAGGTATCCCATATCAGGTTTGCCATATGTAAAAAGTTTAGAAAATTATAGTTTCTCTGTTTTTTATACTGTCGTCTCTAAAATCTCATTCTTTATGGGAAGCCCGGTATGTTAATATTTTTATACTTTTTTAAGGCGATTATTAACGGACCTACGGTTCAAGGGCTCAAGTGACCAAGGTTGTATTCTCTTGTACTTCCTGACAACCCTCCACACTGTACTAGGCAAGGTTCTTTAATAAGATTGCTTACTCTCAATACGCTCCAATGTACGGAAAATGTCGTTTCCTGAGATAGAAGAAAGATAAATACCTCAATACCTAATATGACTTCGCTGATCATCGAGGCGAGAGTGACGTCATATTAGGTTTTTATCTATCCTAGGAGACGATATTTTCCGTACATTGGAGCGCATCGAGAGTAAGCAACCTTATTATACAACCTTGGTACTAGGATACACGGAATCTCAAGATGCCATCACCTATTATCAAATCTTGGCAGAGAAATATCAATCTGCTTTCAACACTCCAGCAACCTCAAACTCTGGTATTATATGATAAATTATCATTTTTCACAAATACTAGTTTTGTTTAAGAAATAAGGCAGGTTTTTGGGCTGACAATATTACCGGAAATATCAAGACTTATACATGCGAAAATTGCTAATCATATATACAAGACTCATATATGCGAAATTAGGTTGACGATTAAATGTCACAAATTATTTCAAGGATCAAAGACGACCTTTTATTCGTCCAGCTGCTGTCATGTTTTGTGGGACACCCTGTATATTGGCTTGCTGTCTAGCAATCCTTCTCATATTTATCCAAAATAAAAAATTGCATTTCTTATATTTTTAGAAAAGTTTACTGATCTGATGAAAGCCTGTATGAAAGGAAATGAGGATGAATATGAGAGTTGTAAGACAGAATATATTCAACAGGAAATAATTCTACTTCAAAGAAATCAAAGAAATGCTATGTAGAAACATTATTGTGCCTTGCCTAATGCGTAGAAACCAAGTTATTGCTGAATTTTTTAAACAGACTAAGAAAATAAATTCCTGTGGTTCTACTGAATTCCCCAATTTTTAAAACAGACTAAAAACATTCCTGTGGTTCTACTGAATTCCCCAATTTTTAAAACAGACTAAGAAAATAAATTCCTGTGGTTCTACTGAATTCCCCAATTTTTAAAACAGACTAAAAACATTCCTGTGGTTCTACTGAATTCCCCAATTAAAATTTTAGGCAAATTGGTCAAGGGTCCAATAGTAGTGTATTTTAAGGAGGTTTACACCCTATTCTTGACCTTTTGATTTGTTGAGTATCTATCGATCATAAGTAAAAATTGGCCAAGGGTCCAATTACAAAAAAATACCTTACAAATTTTCAGATTCATTCAAATGGGCTGAAATTTACATAGATTTATATTTTATTTCTTACACTTCTTTCAATTGTATTTCCCCCTTGGCAGATTCCTGAGCTGAAAACTTTAGAATGGTGGATATTGAGATTAATGCTCGATCCTCTCTTTATCTTAATATCAAGACTAACCTAATCTTGTACTTGAATCCCTGAAAAGTGTATAAAATTCAACCAATCAGAGTCGCGAATATGAAGCCGATAAATTTGAAATTTTGCGCGCCACTTAAGATTATATTCAGAAACGGAAGGGACTCTCTAAATTTAAAAAAAGCGGTTTTTTTATTTTTCTCTACTATATCCAAGAAAGGACGGTTTAAGAAGAAAATCAAAAGTGTGTCCATTGGATACTCAGATTAAGTAATCAGGATTCAGGATATCTCATTCTAAAGTTTTCAGCTCTGGATTGTTTTGGAACGAATTATTTCAGTTGATATCAGAAGATAAATTCAATGATGCGAACATTTTTATTGTTCAATATCGTCTCTACAAGCAAGGAATTGGTAAGACGTTTTTCAAGAAAATACAGGGGAAGAAAGTTCCAAATTGTGATTTTAACCAGACCTGACACTGAATGTAAAGAGGTTTTTGGCCAAAATGAAAAAGGTGAATTATTAAACTGTTCTTTATCTTTTGATTACATTAGAGTGGAAAAAACTGAAATATATAATATTCAAAGTTGAAGTTTTTACCAACAACTTAAACTTTAGTCCAATAAAAATGGAAATATTTTTGTTTTTTGCTAATTACTGATTTCATTTTCGAACATTTCACATTTTTACATATTGGGTACTAGGCGCGTTTTGAAAATGGTTTTTATTGAGAATAAGGATTTCTTTCAGTCTTAATTCTAGAAAAGAAATCAATAATTTTACTAGAACGGATAGGCACTGTTTTGAGGCTCGTTTTCTAAATAGTCAAAGTTTTTAGACTTTTAAGAGGCTTCAATACAACCTCAGTTGTACATTCTATTTAAAAATTGCATTCTTGACAAGTTGGCTTTTATTACCAAAGATATTTATCAAAACGAATTTTCAAAACGATTACTAAAGTCGTTTTAATAAATCGTTTCAAAAGTCGTTTTTTTCGCGATATCTTTAATCTGAGAAAAAAAGAATAACTTGATAAAAACTATTTTATCGAGAATGTAGCTTTGTAATGTAGTAAATAACATTCTTTTGTGGAATGTGGAGCACTTTTAATGTCGAAAACCCTTTTCAAAAATAAACCTCAAATTCCTACTTGTAGTCGTCATGCTTTATAATTTGTTGTAAATAGTTTTTTCGTTGAAACTTGCAAATAGTTTATAAAACGTCGATGATAAACACGGTTGGAACTATCGTCCACTGAAATATACAACCCTGCAGAGAGGTAATTAAAAATTTTATGTTGAAAATGTTTTAAGAATGTTATGAAACACGACTGGAAGGTTTATCTCCCTGTAAATCTGAGATAGAAACATCGACAAATATTTTCAAATTTAGGTAAAAATTTTGTTGAATTTTTGACTGATTCACTTCTTGTCGCTGCTGCATTAATCCCCAAGTCAGTTTTTTTAGAAATTCAGTTAAGAATTATCAATTTTCAAACAGAACAACAAGAATCTTTCCATCATTTGTTGCTTCACATTTGGTTAATATCATAATTTTTAAAGATTTAAACTTTTTATTGGAAAGTATTATTTATATTTAAGAACAGTCGTATTTATTTATATGGAACAGTCTATTTATATTTCAGGAACAGTCTATTTATATTTCAGGAATAGTCTGTTTATATTTCAGGAACAGTTTATTTTATAGTTATAGTATTTATTTTCAAACACAAAATACAAAATAATATTGCATGATGGTTCAGCTTAAAATATAACACAAAAGAAAATTATTATTAAAAATTAAATTAAATTAAAAATATATTGTATGATAATTTTGTTTTGATCGTATTTGTTGAAACAAAGTATAAATATTGAAAACTCAACTAANACAGTCTGTTTATGTTTCAGGAACAGTATGTATATTTCAGGAACAGTCTATTTATATTTCAGGAACAGTCTGTTTATAAAGTTTCTTGAATACCTTGACTCCGGGGTGAATACTGAGACCATAGAGGACATATTGACCCAGATCAGAAAGGTTTGTTTCAATTACCTGATTGTTATGTTTTTTAAAATATCTGTAAAAAAGCTCTTCGCTGAACAAATTTAGTGTTTGAATGTTTATGTTTTCTCAGAATTACAAAAAGTTACTAAGTTATAAAATCCACGAAAAATATTATCAAATCCGCAAACTTTTTTTATTGTTTTATATTGTAATAATAAAAGATACTCACAGGTAGAAACACAATTAAAATTTGAAATGGTAGACCGGCGCGAAGCGCCCTAAAAGCCTTGTATTTATAAGATAAGGGACAAATCTGAATCAACCCCCCTCCTATTTATATACAGGGTTACCCACAAAGGATGAGACCGTAAAGACAACCTGAAACTCTTAAAATATGATTATTCCAAGCTTAAAATAAGTCTTCTGCTTTTAAAATAGTCTTTTATGGCCATTTTAATAATTTCGGAAAGTTTACAGTTGCAGATAATCATATATCTAAGAAAATAGACGGTATAAATTCCGTACAGTCGTCTGAAGTCTCATCCTTAGTGGGTTACCCTGTGAGTTATCTGGCCAGGGTTTCCAGCGAACGAAAACGTTCGTGAAATTTCGCGAAAATTAATTTTGCGAAAGGGAGCAAAATCAATGCGGAATTTCCGGGGGGGTATCAAAATATGCGACTATTTTGCAAAAAAAATGCGTCTGAATCTGTTTCGCGTAAGAATACGAAATTTTCGACAAAAAAACATTTCTCGAAAAATGCGACATTTCTACATTTCGCTGGAAACCCTACATCTGGACTCAATTGCTGGCAAGACAGAGGCAGAATTTTTGAAATTCTACGGGCAAAGCCGAGAAAATCAAAGCTTAAATCGTGAATTAATACCAAGCGCGGGATTCACTCTGACTTTAATAATATTAACCTGGGCAGCGCCGGACACTATTTGATAAAATTATTGTTTGAAGGTTGACTGCTCTCCGAAAGGAGTTGTGGTTGTGGATGCAAGTTGTAAAAGAAGATACGAGAACGGAGTCATCTATGTCAATGATCTAAAGGAATAATAGCATTGATGCATAATATCATAAACAGCTTCGTTTTTACCACATTCGTTTGAAAGCTATTTGGAAGGTTTTCAATAAACAAAAAAAGAGGAACCTATATAAGCTTATTGGAAATCTGATTTTTAAGACAATTTCTCAAATAGTAAACAACTTCTAATCCAATGGGTATGAGTCAATTTTTTGGGTCACAAAAAATGTACAATGAGATATCTAATGAGTCTGTGTCCGGTCCTTTCACTTCCTTTTTTTTGACATCCTTTAGCTAAGAATAAAAACATTAAAAAAAATCTTTTGAAAGAGAACTTATTTTTATATTATCTCTTTTTTTGTCAACTTAGAAAACATATAATTTTATTAAAAGCCTTGACATTTTTATCCGTTTTATGGTTAATGCATTTTGAAATTGTGGTTTCAATGTTTTATAAAATAGGCTGGACTTCAAATAAGCCAGAATGGAGGTAGATTGCTAATCAAGAATGGAGACTATACTGCAGATGCCTGGCATGATGTTAAACTCCTGAAAGATGGAGCCACGCTTGAGATTATTGGAGAGAGCTCCAGTGATTGCTGTTTGAGGTAAAACTCGGAAATTAACAATTTAGAAATACCAATTTTCAGATAGAGAAACAAGGATATCTTTATAATTTTTGCTCTGACGAAGGTCTAATGGATACATGTTCCTCTGTAAATGAAAGTTCCCTTGAAATTACGTATACAGTCCCTTTAAATTGATTTTGATTGTTGTTTAGTGGTTCTATAAAGATCCTGGCATGTCCTGGAGGCAAGATATCTATCAGGAATGTTAAATTGGAGATAGGAGATTCAGGTGGATTTTCATCGAGTTATGCTTTTCAAAATTTTATAGTTTTTTTGCCGTTTACATTTTTCAATGAAATTTTGTTCAAGCTTACAAAATTATTTGCCAATCCCCCCCCCAGCAGGAATAGGGTTAATCATTTTGAATCAAGAAAAATGGGAAAATGTAATGTTAACTGTTTATTGAACTTCTAAAACACTCAACTAAGCATGAATAAATTGACGCTAAAATGACATTACTATTACAACTTTGTGACCTCGTAGCTCTTCTAGTTTTGATTTTATGAGAAAAATAAAAGAATTTATTCTTTGTCACAAACTCTGATTTTCTAACTGCTATATCTTTGCAACCCAATGTCGTAGACCTTAGATAATTCAAGCAATGCATTCTGTTGGATTAAATTATCCAAGTTCGAACTATTGCAAAGATATAGACGTTAGAAATTTAGAGTTTGTGGCAAAAACTGAACTCCTTTATTTGGCTAGAAATTTAAAGCTTCTTTTTTATTTTCATTGATAGCTCTTAAATAATAGGATTTATGATTGTAAACATGAAAGCTTTAAATCTAGCATGAAAGGAGTTGAGTTTCTGCCACAAACTATGATTTTCTAATCTCTATATCTTCGTAACCCAATGTCGTAGACCTTAGATATTTCAAACTATTAATACTTATAGATAAAATAATCAAAGTTTGAAATATCAAAGGTTTGCGCCATCAGGTTGCAAAGATATTGGGATCAGAAGATTTGAGTTTGTGGCAAAAACTCAATTCCTTTCCCAATTTCGTGTAAGCTGACCAAGGTTATATACTAATGTTGGTTACTCTTGATGCGCTCCAATGTACGGAAATGTCGTCTTATAAGATAGATAAAAACCTCATATGACGTCACTTTCGCCTCTATAATCAGTGATGTCATTTGAGGTTTTTATCTATCTATCTTAGGAGACGACATTTTCCGTTCATTGGAGCGCATCGAAAGTAACCCGACTCAGTATACAACCTTGGAACTGACGCTGACCTTCCTAATGTTTTAGCTGAGAGTAATGATGCAATGAATATACTGGGGGGATGGGTAAACTTTGATACCTGTGTTTTGGAATGTTTTGTAAATACAGCAATCTATATTCACAGCAGACCAGGTAATCTTACAATGCTCCCCAATATAATGGGATATTATGCATTAAAGATATTGTACAATTCTAGGCGATTATATAAAAACAATGAAGACTTTTTTCGATTTCAATTTTGATTTATATCAAGCTGTTAAACAGCATGGATAGTATACACATAAACATAGAAGTCAAGAATAGCTGTCAATCAAAAAAGCTTCTCTTTGGTTACTTGTGAACTTGTAATTCTAAGACTTCAGAGACGGCTATTAGGAATTATTACTGGCTGTTTTTATATATTCTTGATTCCACAACTTTAAACTTGTTTCTTATTTGCCAAATCATTAAATCTTATTTAAAAGTCAATGCTCATTGCTCAAGGCAGAAGACTTAATTCAACCTTGAAATCGTCATATTTTAAGAGTTTTACGTCGTCCTTACTGTCACATCCTTTGTGGGTAACCCTGTATGTAAAGCAATAATGCCAATCACCGCGAGAATACAGTTTTAAATTGACCCTTCAGTGACGCTCCTTGTCCGATTTACAATGGTACTTTTGTCTGATGGGACTCAATCTCCAGCTAAAATAAGGATATATTTGCCATCCTTGGTCGGACTTGCCATTGGAGGGTAACATGAATTACGTCTGCAGTTTCTTTATAAGTGTTTGTTTCAAGCCGTAGTTTTGGGTTTATTACGCACGTTTTTTCAGAGCTCATATTTAAAGGGACTGTAAGCGTAATTTCAAGTGACCCTCCATGCAAAGATGACAATGTCCGATTCACAACGGTACCCTTGAATTCTTTATCTGATCAATTCCTATTATTTCCTGATGTAGAAATGCTTAAGTCACTTTTGTAGAGAACCCACAATTGAAATAAAAACAGTTTTAAAACATTGATATTTAATTCGGTACCTTCTTTGCACGGAGGTTCTCATGAAATTACGCGTACACTCCCTTTAATTCAGAATATTTAGATGAATCTTCTGTTTAGATGGTGTATTAACTGCTGTCAATATGAAGAACTGTTTTATTGAAGGTCTTCAGTCCTGTCAGAGAATATTTTCTATAGAACAAGGAAATACAATATTCTAATTTTGGTTTCAGCATTGGTTGCCACATTTTTTTTGAGACATTTAAGTCGATGTTTTCTTAATTTTTTGTCCTAATTTTTTCGGTAAGAATGTGTTTAATTTATTTTGTATCTGATTCGGATAAATTTCACTAGAAGGGGATTATTCATTTAGCGTACTATCCCATTTTGCCTTATAAACATAGTCTGTATTTGTACAGTACTGCTTTCCTTGGCTAGTTGAAATTCGGCCCGGTAAATAAAATGAATTAGAATGTACCGTGGATTTGTTTTAACTATGTTTAAAAAATGAAAAATGGTCTTAAACTCAAATCCGCATCAATAAATTATTTTTATTTAGGTTTTTTTTTATTATTTGATATCTACCATGACCTTTTTCCTGTTATTTATCAAATTTCATTGGCAAAAGCGTGAAAAGATAAGGGCCTGTGGTTTGCGTTAAATTTTGGGATTTTTTAGGGTTAGATTCTCGGTAACCGGTTCCGGGATCCTTAAAGTTTGCTTGATTTCAATATTTTGTTAATCTGCAGATTAATTTAATCTTTATTCGATATTCACAGTGTAATTGTACCCTGAAGGAATAAAGCACTTACAAAACGTTTCCTATTATAAAACGTTTCCTTACAAAACGTTTCCTTACTAAATGTTTCCTTACTAAATGTTTCCTCACAAAACGTTTACTGTCACAAAACGTTTCCTATAACAATTTGTCCTTCAGATAAACCTTTTTATAAAAAAAAATTCAAATAGTTTGAAAATCTACAACTATCAAATGTGACTATTTTTGTGGTTACACTCATAACGACAACAAACTCGATCATTCCTGAAAAACGTCACCCTCCATGTGCATCTGAAGAGGAATAGAATTCATTTTCTTGCACCGAGATTTTAGATCATCTCGCCTGGCAACTCTGTTTATGAACCTAGTTTTGTTTGCATCGTTGGCATTAACACCTACTGCAGCTGCTAGGGCGTCCTCCCGGAGATCAGTCTCCCCCTTACCTTCCTTTCTCTGAAATGACTCCAGCACTTTGTGAAGGCTTGCTCTTCTCTCCAGACTCTAGAAACGTTTTGTGGCATGCAATTTTTTGTAGCAGGAAACGTTTGCTGGCAGGAAACGTATTGTGTAGGAAACGTTCCGTGAGGAAACATTCAGTAAGAAAACGTTTTGTGGGTGCTCCGTAATTGTACCCTGAAGGAATACCTGAAATGAAAAGATTAAACATTGATCCTCATAATTAGAGTGCCCACACTGAATATTGAGATCAAGTAAGTATGAGTAGAGTATCCAACGCAGAAGTTCCCAGCTCAGATTTCATGGCATGCAAAGACAGATAGCTTTAGATTATAATAAATAAAGAATATGAATTGTTAAGGTGTGAATACATCCTTGACTCTGAACTCTTGTTATATTAATGAAACCTACAGTGTACTGTCTTGGTTCAATGATAAGGAATGCCATTAGAAATTAAAAAATGATAATATCTTAATCCAAATTTTTGAGTATTTTTTATTGATATAAATCTCAGGATAAACAACAACAAAAAATCATGTGAATGTACAAGGGAAAATGGCTTTCATTTTTTAAGGATGAAAGCTCTTTCTTTCTATATTTAATCACGAATGGTCCAGCAGAAAGCTGAAAATGTTCATGTTTCTATTTCTAATTGCTTCATCAACGATATCCAGGTAAGATGGTTTTAGCAAATATTAAAGAAAAAAATGTTAGAAATAAGACATTTCACATTGTCATAAATATCATAGTAGGACATTTCAGAGAAAAGACATTTTATAGCTAATATCTTTTTCAGTTCTTACCAAATTTGTCTTACCTCTGTGTTCTGTCTTAATACAGAAATTCATCTCTGTTAGAAATGATTTAAAGCTTTCTTTCAAAAATTTTCTTTACTTTATATCTTTGCAAACTGACGTTGAAAACTTTTGAAATTTCAAACTTGATTATTTAATCTAACAGAATTCATAGTTTGAAATATCAAAGGTCTACTACATTAGTTGCAAAGATATAGGGATTTTACAATCAAAGTTTGTTGCAAAACTCGGTTCCGTTAAAATATTTGACGGAAAAATGATTATCGTTTTATACTTGACATATTTTAGGATGTTCTTCGAGTTGTGTTGAACGAGGTTTCTAACGTTTCCGTTCATCTTGAAAAAACTAGTTTCAATTTAGGAAAATATTATAAGCTCATTGCTACAGTTCTTTTGCTATTGTTTGTTCAACACTGCAGTGCTTGGATCTGGATTCGCTGGGCTCGCATCATTTTGGTTTCCTGTATCTGGATCCGGATTGATGTAAATTATCAGATCCTCGGATCCGGATCCGGATCCGGATCCAGATCCACATTCCTATAATTATGCAGATCTACGGATTTGGATCCAGATTTCCATAAATATACAGAGCCCCGAATCCAGATTCTCATAAATATGCAGATCCTTGGATCTGGATCCAGATTCTTATAAATATGCAGATCCACGGATCCAAATCTAGATTCTCATAAATATGCAGATCCACGGATCTGGATCCGGATTCCCGTAAATATGCAGATCCACGGATCCGGATCCAGATTCCCATAAATATACAGATCCACGGATCTGGATCCAGTTTCTCATAAGTATGCAGATCCACGGATCCCGATCCAGATTCAGATTCCTATAAATATGCAGATCCACGGATCCGGATCCAGATTCTCATAAATATGCAGATCCACGAATCTGGATCCGGATCCAGATTCCAATAAATATGCAGATCCACGGATCTGGATCCAAATGCAAAATATAAACAAAAAATTTATATGAACTTATTTAATATTTTTTTATAAAGTTTTGTACTCTGAGGAAGAAAACTCTACCGCCATTACTCTACCAAATCAAGTGGATTTACAGGGAAATCTAACAAAAGAAAAATCTCTATTTCAACAAAGAATTAAGTCTTTGCCCCCAACTCAACTTTTCTAATCCCTGTATCTTTGCAACCTGATGGCGTCAATCTTGGACATTTTCAATTAGATTGTGTGATAGTTTAAAATTCAGAATTTCAGAAACCATTACTCATCAAGATTTTTTCAATATTTTCATTTCTTTTTTAGTTTTCCAGGAACATGACAGTTTTAAACCACACTCAAGGTTAGTATTAGTACAGTGCAGGTTGTCAGATTTTACAGTTTTAAACCACACTCAAGGTTAGTATTAGTGCAGTGTAGCTTGTTAGATTTTACAGTTTTAAACCACACTCAAGGTTAGTATTAGTGCACTACAGGTTTTTATATTTTACAGTTTTAAACCATACTCAAGGTTAGTATTAGTACACTACAGGTTTTTATATTTTACAGTTTTAAACCATACCCAAGGTTAGTATTAGTACAATGCAGCTTGTCATATTTTACAGTTTTAAACCAAGGTTAGTATTAGTACACTACAGGTTTTTATATTTTACAGTTTTAAACCATACCCAAGGTTAGTATTAGTACAATGCAGCTTGTCATATTTTACAGTTTTAAACCACACTCAAGGTTAGTATTAGTGCACTACAGGTTGTCAGATTTTACAGTTTTAAACCACACTCAAGGTTAGTATTAGTGCAGTGCAGCTTGTCAGATTTTACAGTTTTACCAAATTAAATTTTGTCCATGATACGTTAAATACTCTCTAAGGTTTTCGGTTTGAATTATGAAAATATTTACATAATTTAAGATTGATATTTTAATGATCTAAAGTTATTTTGTTAATTACCAATATCGATAAAACCGGAATTATATTTGAACCATCAGATTTCTCTAAAATCATCTTAAGTATACATAACCTATATAATATGTTTAATTAGCTAGAATTGTTATCCCCTGAACTATGTCCACATTTGTGAACAGTCCCTTTAAGGTGTGGGTGTCTGTATAACAGTCCCTTTAAGGTGTGGGAGTCTGTATAACAGTCCCTTTAAGGTGTGGGAGTCTGTATAACAGTCCCTTTAAGGTGTGGGAGTCTGTATAACAGTCCCTTTAAGGTGTGGGAGTCTGTATAACAGTCCCTTTAAGGTGTGGGAGTCTGTATAACAGTCCCTTTAAGGTGTGGGAGTCTGTATAACAGTCCCTTTAAGGTGTGGGAGTCTGTATAACAGTCCCTTTAAGGTGTGGGAGTCTGTATAACAGTCCCTTTAAGGTGTGGGAGTCTGTATAACAGTCCCTTTAAGGTGTGGGAGTCTGTATAACAGTCCCTTTAAGGTGTGGGAGTCTGTATAACAGTCCCTTTAAGGTGTGGGAGTCTGTATAACAGTCCCTTTAAGGTGTGGGAGTCTGTATAACAGTCCCTTTAAGGTGTGGGAGTCTGTATAACAGTCCCTTTANCTGGAGAAGTATAGTCTATTGGAATTAAATTGATTTGTTTACGATCCGAGTTGAATGTTGCATCTTTCCGAACACTCCCTTTAAAGATGTCTAATAATTTTCGTTATATATATTTCAATTACAGAACAGAATTTCTGGAACAATTTCATAGAATTGTTTACATATTCTAAATTCAAATATAAATGAATTTTTTTTGAAAAAATTATTAAAAAATATTTTCCGTGTGCAGAAATAGATTTTACACATTCTAAATACAAATAAGGATTTCTAGAAGTTTAGATTTTGACTATAAACTGTGATTGTAGTTCTATGATAAAAAAAATGAACTAGATTGTGTGTAGAGGTGTATTAATGTAGATCTATGTGTTTAAACCACTGTGAACTAGATTGTGTGTAGAGGTGTATTAATGTAGATCTACGTGTTTAAACCACTGTGAGCTAGATTGTGTGTAGAGGTGTATTAATGTAGATCCATGTGTTAAACTCCTAGAATGTTCTATATACTCCCTTCTCATGATCTAGATTGGGTGTAGAGATGTATGGTTGCAGATCTATGCATTTAAACCATTGTGATCTCCAAGAATGTTCTGTAGGAGTCCACCTTCCATATACAACCTCACTCCATAATATCAGGTATTATTGAGGAGGCTGTATTTAAATTCTGTTCATAATGCACTGTGATTTAAAGGTTGCAAGCTAACAAGCCAAAATCTATGAGAATTTTTCCAATTACTTCTTGAAAACCAAAGCTAACAACAAGTGCTTTATAATGCTTTAAATGTAAAGGGCTACAGAAAAGCATAAGTGAGTTAGAGCGGTAAAATCAAAGCCCAAGGTGTTGTGACACTTCAAAGTCGACCCTGTCTTTAAAATTGATTACACTTATTTTAGTGCAGACTGAATCTATGTGAATGCACTCAGTCGATTCCCCTTACCCCTAGCAGTTAAATTTAAGTCATCAGATACTTAGGATCATTTCTTTTTCCCCGGAATTAGACTCAAATCCTTGAATTTAAAAGTTTACAGGGTGGATATTGATTTCTGTTATTGTGGCTGAGCGCCATCTCGAACTAAAGGTTTAGTATCTGGTGTTCTAGTAAATTTTATCTTGTCAGATCTTACGTTGCTATTGTTGTAATTAAAGGGACTGTAAGCGTATTTTTTAAGTGACCCTCCATGCAAAGATGGCAATGCCCGATTTACAACAACGATACCCTTGAAAGCTTTGTCTGATCAAGTATGAATTATATACAGGGTGTCCCAATAAACATGGGAATTCAGTGACGAATTCGATATCGTCTTTTTAAATAATTCTTTGATTTAGTATAGTGATACCTACTGAGAAAGCTGTAATCTGTAAGAGTTTCGTCTGCGATGTTCACATTTTGTTTGTTTATGTTTTGACTGCATACGGGTGTACTTAGTAAAACAAGAAAATGAAAGTCGCAATATTCGCCTCGGATCGTAACAAATTTATTTAATTCCAAGCAAATCATTCAGATTTAATCATCGATAATTTGTCGACGCATTCGTATATAGTTGATATTCATAATATTTTTTTTTTCATTTGCGAAAGTTACTTGCACATTTTGCATTTCTTGTTTATAAGAAGACACTTAAAGATATAAAAAAGTTCTTTAACATTTTTAATCGGATTAAGATTTCAAGGATAGCGTTGTGAATGGGGCATTGCCATCTTTGCATGGAGGGTCACCTGAAATTACGCTTACAGTCCCTTTAAACACACTGTATATATTATAACTATTAAAGGGAGTGTTCGCATAAAAAAGGAAGTAACCATAAAATCATTTCCATTAATATAAAAATAAATAATATTTAGGATTGAAAATACATATTTCCGAAGTATGTTTAATGGGTTCCTGTTGGAAGGCAGAGTGGATGATTTCAGGCAAGTAGAACATTTGTATAACAATTATATCTGTTATTTTGTTATTAGTTTATTTTTTTATTTATTGTTAAGTGGAAGAACCCTAATTTTTATTGATGTCCTGGAACCAGGGCTGACTAGACCCAAGACTAGGGGACAGTTAATCCAGGTAGAATAGGAAGACGACATTAAAGCAACAACGAAGTGCATTTGATGTTGTTACAAAGCACATGGCTGTACTAGTAAGTAACTTATTAAGTGAAATTGGTCGGTTTAAACTAAACAATTGATGTGTCTCATGTTTATTGGACTATTAAAGTCATAACTTGAGTCTAAAGGTTGTCATCCTATTCCAGAGATGTTGAATATTACTTTATAATGTTGCCACTTAAAGTACAATGATAACTTGAAAACTGTAGAATAGAAAGATGACACTAAGCAATACTGAAGTTCATTAGATGTTATTGCAAAGCATATAGCTTTACTAGTAACTTATAAAATCACTTATTAAGTAAAATTAAACAGTTAATTTTTATACTTTCTTTTGTCTTGTGTTCGTATGAAGGATATGATAGGTATTATGATAAAACTCACCAATCTGAAAAATTACCAATTTTTTTATATATTTTTTAATAATTTACATCAATATCATGTTTATTGTTTAGTTGAATGTTGGTAAACTGAATATGGATTTATCTTTGTCTGATATTCCTAATCAAGAGAATGATATTCCTGATCAAGATTCTGATATTCCTAACCAAGATTTTGATATTCCTGATCAAGAGTCTAATATTCCTGATCAAGATTCTGATATTCCTGATCAAGATTCTGATATTCCTGATCAAGATTCTGATATTCCTGATCAAGATTCTGATACAAGAATTTTGACAGAAACCATCAATACTTCTGATAATATGAGGAATACATCAGAACATTCTGACAATGTTTCTCCCATTTCAGGGATTCTTCATTTTCTTTATTTTAAACTATCCGGAGAACCCGGTGTTGTCCAGGTTTATAATATTACTCAAACTTACTTCCGTCATTTACTCGCGCTTGGTATTAAATCATGATTTTAGCTAAAATGCCCCATGTTCCCAGTAGAATCTAAAATTTCAACAAAACATGTAGCCTATGTTATCCCCGGGAAACCCACGGGTTCTCTCAAAAAATTTCAGCTAATTAGGTCTAGCCGTTTGGACAGCTATAGCAAACATGAGGCTATAAGCAAAGAGCAAAGAGAGGAAAATAAGAAAGCATTTGAAGGGAAAGAAATAAGGCAAACATTCAGGAAACTGGGTTCAAAGAAATGGAAACAGTTAAGAACATAAAACTGGGTTTAAAGAATTGGAAACAGTTAATAACTGAAAACTGGGTTTAAAGAAATGGACACAGTTAAGAACAGAAAACTGGGTTTAAAGAAGTGGAAATATTTAATAACAGAAAACAAGGTTTAAAGAAGTGGAAACAGTTAATAACATAAAACTGGGTTTAAAGAATTGGAAACAGTTAATAACAGAAAACTGGGTTTAAAGAAATGGAAACAGCAAAGAACAGAAAACTGGGTTTAAAGAAGTGGAAATATTTAATAACAGAAAATTGCAACCAGAAGAAATGGAAACATATTTCGGAATATGTTTCCTATAACAATATAAATAAAAACATTTTGTATTTTCCTAATTTTGAATCACAAGAATCTGGATAAAAATCATAAATTTATTTTCTTTGGTTTCATAGTGAGACTCTTCTTGAATCCTTTGAATGACAGGTTAGTTGGAATAAAATATATATATATTAATTTTAGCTAAAATCATGATTTTATATATATTTCAGTTTTTAACTTCACATTTTTTATTATAAAAGAATTATACTAAACATAATGTTTCACGTTATCATGACGATCCTCAGTAGTTAAAATTCTTTGAACAACAACAAATATATACATATATATACAATATTTGAACAAAGAGCTTTATTTTTTGGATTAAAAACAGTGACATTTTCTTTTTATCCATTATTTTGTTCATTTTTTAATTGTCATCGATAAAAATAAAATTCGTCAAAATATCTTGAAAATTATTTTTACCATCTAATATTTTTTAAATGAACAATACCTCGTTATTTTTGTTTCTATTTGAGCTCTGTGAATTTTGTACAATGTACCCATCGAAAGGTGCAAAGCTAAAACTGTAAAGCTTTTAAAATAAGTAAGTTAACTAATCTAACCATCTTTTTTCTAGTATGTGTCTACTAAAAATATTTGATCTCCATTCATATTTCGGTGCTATTGTTATTTTAGAAGAAAAGTAGGAAAACGCAACAAATTTAAATTGATACACTCTCAGTGTATATTTTTAAGATCTATGAGNAAATAAGTAAGTTAACTAATCTAACCATCTTTTTTCTAGTATGTGTCTACTAAAAATATTTGATCTCCATTCATATTTCGGTGCTATTGTTATTTTAGAAGAAAAGTAGGAAAACGCAACAAATTTAAATTGATACACTCTCAGTGTATATTTTTAAGATCTATGAGATAATATGTTATTTATTTTTAAGATATATGAGATAATATGTTATTTATTTTTAAGATATATGAGATAATATGTTATTTATTTTTAAGATATATGAGATAATATGTATTTTTTATATTAGGCTAAGAAAATGTTTGAGGAGGGTGCAGTGTTAATTCTACTTGATGTTCCTACTAGGACAGAGTTTGGTATTGATCTTAACTCATGGAATACAGGTATTGATCTTAACTCATGGAATACAGGTATTGATCTTAACTCATGGAATACAGGTATTGATCTTAACACATGGAATACAGGTATTGATCTTAACTCGGGGAATACAGGTATTGATCTAAACTCATGGAACACAGGTATTGATCTTAACTCATGGAATACAGGTATTGATCTAAACTCATGGAATACAGGTATTGATCTTAACTCCTGGAATACAGGTTTGATCTAAGCTCATGGAATACAGGTATTGATCTTAACTCTTGGAATACAGATGTTGATATTAACTCATGGAATACAGGTATTGATCTAAACTCCTGGAATACAGGTGTTGATCTTAACTCTTGGAATACAGGTGCTGATATTAACTCATTGAATACAGGTATCAAGATCTTAACTCCTGGAATACAGGTATTGATCTTAACTCATGGAATACAGGTATTGATCTTAACTCCTGGAATACAGGTATTGATCTTAACTCCTGGAATACAGGTATTGATCTTAAATCCTGGAATACAGGTATAGATCTTAACTCCTGGAATACAGGATATATTGATCTTAACTCATGGAACACAGGTATTGATCTTAACTCCTAGAATTCAGCCATTGATCTTAACTTATGGAATACAGGTATTGATCTTAACTCCAGGAATACAGGTATTGATCTAAACTCATGGAACACAGGTATTGATCTTAACTCCTGGAATACAGGTTTGATGTAAACTCATGGAATACAGGTATTGATCTTAACTCTTGGAATACAGGTGTTGATATTAACTCATGGAATACAGGTATTGATCTTAACTTCTGGAATACAGGTATTGATCTTAACTCTTGGAATACAGGTGTTGATATTAACTCCTGGAATACAGGTATTGATCTAAACTCCTGGAATACAGGTTTGATTTAAACTCCTGGAATACAGGTATTGATCTTAAATCCTGGAATACAGGTATTGATCTTAACTCCTGGAATAAGGATATATTGATCTTAACTCATGGAACACAGGTATTGATCTTAACTCCTAAAATACAGGTATTTATCTGAACTCATAGAATTCAGCTATTGATCTTAACTTATGGAATACAGGTATTGATCTTAACTCCAGGAATACAGGTATTGATCTTAACTCCGGGAATACAGGTATCGATCTTAACTCTTGGAATACAGGTATTGATATTAACTCCTGGAATACAGGTATTGATATTAACTCATGGAATACAGGTATTGATCTTAACTCATGGTTTACAGGTATTGATCTTAACTTTGGGAATACAGGTATTGATCTTAACTCTTGGAATACAGATATTGATAATTAACTCATGGAATACAGGTATTGATATTAACTCATATAATACAGGTATTGATCTTAACTCATGGTATACAGGTATTAATGGTATTAATTAATAATGTTGTCTTATCTTTACAGTTTGAATAGAGAATATAATTTTGTAGATCTAAGAATTAAAAAGTAGCTTGCATATCTTTAAACCCTTAAATGTTGTTCTTTGTTCATAATACTAACAATAAACACTTCAAACCTGCAGGAGAATTAATTATAAAACAGCATATTTAAAATCCTTTTAGTTCATATGATTTTATTAGGTGATAAGTTTATGGGTGTGAAAATGATTCCTCCTGGCCTACATTTCATATACTACAGGTAACCTGCATTTAGGCTGTGTTAGCACTACAGCTACAATTTGTAAGTGCTGCAGTTAGGGCGTTTAAGCACTTTGGCTAGGGCATGTGAACACTGTGGCTAGGACATGTATGCGCTGTGGTTTGGACATGTAAACACTGTGGATAAGACATGTAAGTGCTGTGGCTAGGCCATGGAAGCGCTGTGACTAGGAAGTGCATTTGCTTCGACTCGGACGTGTTAGCGCTGTTTAACTGGGATTTGTACCTAATTTTTGACATCTCATTAAGTATGGCATAGTTATTACATCATAAAATACTTTGCAGGGTTCAATAATTGTAAGTTGAGTCGAATTTTTTTTATTTAAAGATTTTTCATTGTTTAGTTTCTTAATCCACAAATGACTGAATCTATTTTAGTGCTGCAAATTCTTCTTCTGGAGATTTATCTCCTCGAACTGGATTCTTTCATTGGTTTTCCAAGGTAATAGAATTGCGCCCAGATCAATCCTTTTAAAGTTTATACCAGTGGCTTCAATGAAATTCCATCTGATGTGATTCCAAATTTATTTTCTATTAGTATTATTATTATTATTGTCTATTATCTTCTACTACAGGGTGAACTCTTGGCCTTCAGATGGGATTCTAAACAGGAGATTTTAAAAGACGAAGTCAGGTAGTTATCTGGACTGTTCATTTAAAGCGATCCTTCATTTATAGGGTGTTATGTCTGATTCACATAGGTACCCTATACATCTATATCTAATCATGGATGAAATAAAAATTAAATATTTTCTAGTTCTGCTGACTGTGAAAGAATGAGAGGGGATTTAAAGAACCTGGACAGAAATTTGGGAGCTTACCCTTTCCAGTCCTGGAGCAAGTGGATCATGCTGACATCAAGAATCAGGTATTAATCCTGTTTTATCTATGGATTATTGGACTGCCGGCCAAGCAGCGCAGCATTTTNTTAACTGTTTTAATGATTTAAATTGTTTAGCAATACAGATGTATATAAGATGTATATTTCTGATTATTGTTTAGCAAGATGGATATTAAAATGGATAATGTATGATTTTGATCTACTGTTTAGCAAGATGGATATTAAATGGATGATGTATGATTTTGATCTACTGTTTAGTAAGAAGGATATGGAACGGATGTATATTTCTAATTTATTGATCAGCAAGACAGATATGGAACGAATGTGTATTAATGATTATTTGTTTATCAAGACAGCTATGGAACGGATGTATATTTCTGATTATTTGATTAGCAAGATGGATATGGAACAGATGTATATTTATGATTTATTGTTTAGCAAGATGGATATGGAACAGATGTATATTTCTGATTTATTGTTTAACAAGAAGGATATGGAACAGATGTATATTTCTGATTTATTGTTTATCAAGACAGATATGGAACAGATGTATATTTCTAATTTATTGTTTATTAAGACGGATATTGAACGGATGTTTATTAATGATTATTTATTCAGCAAGACGGATATTGAACTGATGTATATTTCTAATTTATTGTTTAGCAAGACGGATATGGAACTGATGTATATTTCTAATTCATTGTTTAGCAAGACAGATATGGAACAGATGTATATTTCTGATTTATTGATTAAAAAGATGGATATGAAACAGATGTATATTTCTGATTTATTGTTTAACAAGACGGATATTGAACGGATGTTTATTAATGATTAATCGTTTAGCAAGACAGATATGGAAAGAATGGTTCCAGAACGTAAAAACATTTCCTCCGCTTCAGAGATGTTACCAGATTCAGACATCAAGGAACCAGATCTATCCATTAAATATTTAGGACTTTTCATATATTTCAGTCGTCCACTTATTATTTACTAGATTTATTCATCAAATGTAAACTATTGTAAACAAATAAATATTTTATTATTAATAAATCTTTCCTTAACCTTCTTTTACAACATTTAGTTGTTCAAAATATTTTTAAATACATTTAAGGTTTCCTTTTTCGTATTCCAATATATGTGTTGTGTATTTCTTGTCCAAAGTACATTTTGATAATCATTGCAATTGATTTAATTAAAAATTGGTTTGTTGAACCAGAGCACAGGTGATCTGCCAACCTTGATTCCTAGACCTGGAACACAGATCAACTTCACACAGATATCCAGACAGAAATATCCAGGTAGAATTGGGATATTCATTGGTGGAAAAATATCCGGAGGCCGAATTTAATGAATTTGAGCCGCGGAAATTTAGTTTTAATTGATTTATAAAATGTTTAGATGGGTCATCAGCTCAGGAAATCAGTAAGGACGGTTTAGACTCATCATATGAACTGGAAATCTTGTTTTAAATGTTTAATTAAATGTTTAGATAGGTCATCAGCCCAGGAAATCAGTAAGGATGGTTTAGACTCAACATATCAATTGGAAATCTTGTTTTAAATGTTTGATTAAATGTTTAGATGGGTCATCAGCTCAAGAAATCAGTAAACATAGTTTAGATTCAACATATCAACTGGAAATCTTGTTTTAATTGTTTAATTAAATGTTTAGATGGGTCATCAGCTCAAGAAATCAGTAAACATAGTTTAGATTCAACATATCAATTGGAAATCTTGTTTTAATTGTTTAATTAAATATTTAGATGGGTCATCAGCTCAAGAAATCAGTAAACATAGTTTAGACTCCACATATCAACTGGAAATCTTGTTTTAATTGTTTAATTAAATGTTTAGATGGGTCATCAGCTCAGGAAATCAGTAAACATAGTTTAGATTCAACATGGTAACTGGAAATCTTGTTTTAAATGTTTGATTAAATGTTAGATGGGTCATTAGCTCAAGAAGTCAGTAAACATAGTTTAGACTCAACATATCAACTGGAAATCTTGTTTTAATTGTTTAATTAAATGTTTAGATGGGTCATCAGCTCAGGAAGTCAGTAAACATAGTTTAGACTCAACATATCAACTGGAAATCTTGTTTTAATTGTTTAATTAAATATTTAGATGGGTCATCAGCTCAAGAAATCAGTAAACACAGTTTAGACTCAACATATCAACTGGAAATCTTGTTTTAATTGTTTTATTGAATATTGAGATGGGTCATCAGCTCAGAAAAACAGTAAGGACGGTTTAGACTCCACATATCAACTAGAAATCTTGTTTTAATTGTTTAATTAAATGTTTAGATGGGTCATCAGCTCAAGTAATCAGTAAACATAGTTTAGACTCAACATATAAATTGGAAATCTTGTTTTAATTGTTTAACTAAATGTTTAGATGGGTCCTCAGCTCAAGAAATCAGTAAACACAGTTTAGACTCAACATATCAATTGGAAATCTTGTTTTAAATGTTTGATTAAATGTTAGATGGGTCATCAGCTCAAGAAATCAGTAAACACAGTTTAGACTCAACATATCAACTGGAAATCTTGTTTTAATTGTTTAATTAAATGTTTAGATGGGTCATCAGCTCAGGAAATCAGTAAACACAGTTTAGACTCAACATATCAACTGGAAATCTTGTTTTAATTGTTTATTAAATGTTTAGATAGGTCATCAGCTCAGGAAATCAGTAAACATAGTTTAGACTCAACATATCAACTGGAAATCTTGTTTTAAATGTTCAATTAAATGTTTAGATGGGTCATCAGCTCAGGAAATCAGTAAACATAGTTTAGACTCAACATATCAACTGGAAATCTTCATGAAGAATGTTCAAAGGTTTCTAACTTAAATATTGTATAAAACTAACATTTTAATATTTTTTGTTCCCTTTCATTCTTTGTCAAAATACTAAATGTGTCAAACAAAAACATAAGTCACAGAAGTTGGTGAGTTTTTTTCATACATTGGTCGCATTTATGAAGAACTAGTATTGTTTTGAATATGGATCATTGACCATTAAGCAATTAAAAGAGAGGGTTTGTAGAGTGAGCTAGTTTACTTGAGAGAAATATCTCTGGAATAGAATTTATCATATTTGTCCAAGAAAACACTTACTGTAAAAGAGAGGGTTTGTAGAGTGAGCTAGTTTGCTTGAGAGAAATAGCTCTGGAATAGAATTTATCATATTTGTCCAAGAAAACATTTACTGTAAAAAGTTATAAGTTTAACCTTTGAGGGGCACTGAGAAATATTTACCTTTTTACTCGCTTTGATTTCATCAAAGTTTTTAATCAGAATTTTAAGTTTTTAAATTTATATTTTACAATTAAAATGTTATAGTAATAAAATAATGCTGGTTATTTTACAGGACGGATGAAATACTTTCAGAACTACAATTCTCATTCCTTTGCTTCCTGGTTGGACAAAATTATGATAGCTTTGAACACTGGAAACTTTTAGGTTTGTAACTTCATTTAAACTCATTACAATGTAGATAACACAAAATAAACTTAATTTAAACTCATAACAATGTAGATAACACAAAATAAACTTTATTTAAACTCATTACAATGTAGATAACACAAAATAAACTTTATTTAAACTCATTACAATGTAGATAACACAAAATAAACTTAATTTAAACTCATTACAATGTAGATAACACAAAATAAACTTTATTTAAACTCATAACAATGTAGTTAACACAAAATAAACTTAATTTAAACTCATTACAATGTAGATAACACAAAATAAACTTTATTAAAACTCATTACAATGTAGATAACACAAAATAATTGGAATGCAGGTATTGATCTTAACTCCTGGATACAGGATATATTGATTTTAACTCATGGAATACAGGTATTGAACCTAGCTTCTAGAATATAGTTTTTGATCTTAACTCCTGGAATGCAGGTATTGATCTTAACTCCTGGATACAGGATATATTGATCTTAACTCATGGATACAGGTATTGAACCTAGCTTCTAGAATAAAGTTTTTGATCTTAACTCTTTGAATACAGGTATTGATGTTAACTTATGGAATACAGGTATTGAACCTAGCTTCTAGGATATAGTTTTTGATCTTAACTCCTGGAATACAGGTATTGATCTTAACTCATGGAATACAGGTATTGATCTTAACTCATGGAATACAGGTATTGATCTTAACTCATGGAGGAAATAGTTAATAACAGAAAACTGGGTTTAAAGAAGTGGAAACAGTTAATAACAAAAAACTGGGTTTAAAGAAGTGGAAACAGTTAATAACAGAAAACTGGGTTTAAAGAAGTGGAAATAGTTAATAACAGAAAACTGGGTTTCAAGAAGTGGAAACAGCTAATAACAAAAAACTGGGTTTAAAAAAGTGGAAATAGTTAATAACAAAAAAACTGGGTTTAAAGAAGTGGAAATAGTTAATAACAGAAAACTGGGTTTAAAGAAGTGGAAACAGCTAATAACAGATAACCAGGTTTAAAGAAATGGAAACAGTTAAGTACAGAAAACTGGGTTTAAAGAAGTGGAAACATTTAATAACAGAAAATTGCAACCAGAAGAAATGGAAACATATTTCGGAATATGTTTCCTATAACAATATAAATAAAAACATTTTGTATTTTCCTAATTTTGAATCACAAGAATCTGGATAAAAATCATAAATTTATTTTCTTTGGTTTCATAGTGAGACTCTTCTTGAATCCTTTGAATGACAGGTTGTAAACTACTCTACATTTTAAAGGTTTCTTCTAAGATTCTTTATTTATATATTTGATAGATTTTGTAGCAGTTTATCACCATAGTACAGTTTAAATGAAATAGTTATATAATTGTAAGGATATTATTATTAAACATTGCAAAAAACGATTTTTATAATGAGTTTATAAATATTTACACAGTTGTCATCTATTAAGAAAAGAACTTTTATTTTAAATGTTAAAGCCTTACTGAAGCCTATTCAGGCATATTCTTTCACATACATACTTAGAAGGGGCCGCTTAACAAGGATGTGTATATATATTCTATATAGTAAAACATGGGGATAAATCATGCTTAATTTCAAAACAGAAACCAAAACTTTTTAACAAAAACTTAAGTCAATGAAGAATCGGATTAAGATGCGGAATTAAAGCTGTTTCTCATGGTTGCAAAGAATCTACCCTTCCAGAAATCGACCGAGGGCACCCTGATAACTGTCCGGATGAACAGAGATTAAACTATTATTATTTCAGATTAAATCTTGAAAAGAAGACATCTAGTGTTTTATCTGTATTCTTTATTAATCTATAAATCTGTTATTTGAAACCCCTTTAAAAACCCCTATTTACCAAATCACGTATTTTAAATGTAAATTATAATGATTCGTAATATTTGGTAAAATTGCGTAAAATTTACGTATCAATAATATGTGACTAATTATTCTGAAGAATATATTGTCAATATAATCTTTTGTAACCAGGTTGAATGATCTCTGAATTTGTTCAGTTGAAAAAAACATATATTTTTTATTTATGCCTTTCAATTTTGTATTTATGTTTTGTTTCACTTTGTAATGTTTCTAAGATTTATTGAAACCAAGGTTGTTTCTCTAGATGTCACTAAGTAAACTTGATTGGAACCTTCAATTGATAACTTATCTCTCTTTTCTGTAATTTGTTTTTTGCTAATTATTTTTCTAATTATTTTTTTTTATTTTTAATCCTGATTTTCAAATAGTTAAATTAGTAGTAGAATTATTAATATCATAATATTTTGAACATGGTTTTATCAGACGTTTTTATGCAGGGCATTTCACTGGAACTGAAACCCCTTTATCAAAACTTTGATCAAGAGACTGTTCAGTGATTTCCCAGGTGGAACCATTGTAAACTTCTATTGAGGAGGAATCTCCGCCAACCACAGTAAGTTGACCCATGAACACGTGGAGCCCAGGGAAGTTTCGAACAGTTTTCATGTTTTTAATTTTCCTCCAGAGCTTGGAGTTCAAATTGTACACTTCAACATCAGAGATAGCAACACTAAATATATGATTTATAAAATTAACCCTTTAATGACTGGGTGTCAAGGGTGGGGTGACCCCCTGGACAAAATTTAGGAAGCATCAGAGTAAAGTTAGAACAAATATAAAATTTTAGAATAATTTTCCTAAATGGCTTTAAGGTTTTTTAACTGTGATATCATTTTGGAAATCACTAACATGGTTTCTACAATATTTGACACTAATTTAGTAAGAAAAGGTGAAATAAATTCGAAAAAGTATTTTTTTTCTTCAAACTCGGCGCAATAATTCTTAAAAAACATTTTGACAATTCAGAAATGACCTAAAAAATTTATTCACAACTTTAGAGCCAAATATAGAAGATAATAACCAAAACATTTATGCATATATATGTCAACCATTAACATTAA